CGGAGTTGAACTATTTCATGACTTCAGTCTTGATCTTCTTTGACATGTCTGGCCGCATGCGACGGACTTTCTGTTTTACCGGAGGGCAGTCTTATTTTGTCGGTAGACGATGGACCACGATATCAGCGTCAAGTCCCGACATGTCTTCGTATGATCAGGCAAAGACCTCAACATAGTCATGTAGTAACTGAGTTAAACGCTTCTTGACACTGGGTTCCAGATTGGATCCTACCTTGACTTTTTTCTTGTCCTCTTTGGTACCTAAGTTAACTGTGTCCACTGGTTCTTTGTGGGGCTGTATGGTCCTTTCTTCCTATTATAGTAACCTGGCTAGTTCCCATGGCACTTCACAATCTTCCTCACCTTCGTCTTTGGCTTGGTATATTAGATTTTCAAAGTCACAATAGGCCATAGCAGAATCGTTACCCATGGGATCCTGAGTGGATGCAAATCTGCATTTGATATGTGAGTGTGTGTAAGAGCATAGTTGTCTTTGAAAGAAATAAAAATGTAGAAAAATAAAGACAAAGAGCACAAAGTTTGCATGCAAAAACGTCCATGATTCATTGATGACATATGAAAATGAAGTAACAACCCTTACAAATGGACCGTTGTGCCTCGGGTAAGACACGAGGTTTTAAAAGTCTGAATTGTTTAATTATTACAAGTCCGATAGAAATTTAAAGACAATTAATGTTGGATAAATTTAATTGGGACAAAATATTTAGCTTCCTAGTTGGTGAGTCCTCCGTTGATAGTTGGGAAAATCCATCCTTCCAGGTCACAATTGTCATCACTATCCTCCATTGCGTTGACTCCATGGTTTATGATCCTCAAAGGTGGTCCCCTGGTATGAGCGCAACGAACAACTTTATGGGCTCCTGAAGTGAAACCCAAACCGAATTTGTCAGATTTTTAAGGGATATCCGGGAGTTGGCCCCAAATAGTACACCCACCTTCTTCGACCACTGTCTTGGCATCTTTCAGTGAAGACATCTTTAGCGGAGGTCTTGTAATCTTCGGGACTTGGGAAATAGTCTTGGTTGCTGCCACTGTTTGTGGGACTTCCTAGAAATGCTGAAACGGAGTTTCTATGAATTCACCATCCATTTCCATGTATCTGAAGGATTTCAAGTGACTAACCATATATTCCTCCTCTCCATGGACAGTAATGATTTTTCCCTTGGTTGGGTATTTCAGCATCTGATGTAATGTAGAGGTGACGGCACCAACGTCATGAATCCAAGGTCGGCCCAATAAGCAGGAATAGGAAGGGAGAATGTCCATTACATAGAAAGTTGAATCAAAGGTTTGAGTTCCAACTTTTATGGGGATGCCCACCTCCCCATGCACCATTCTCTTCGAACCATCGAATGCCCTTACCACTATGTTGTTGGGTTTTAAGGTCAGACCTTCACAATATAGTTTATCAAGAGCTTTCTTAGGTAACACATTCAAGGATGAACCAATATCAACCAGGACATAGGCCAAAGTTATGCCCCTGCATTCGATAGAGACATGCAACACCTCGTTGTGTTTCCTCCCTCTAGGTGTAAGATCAGCATCAAAAAAGCCTAAATTGTTATCAGCGGTCAAACTTGCCACACAGTCTTGGAATTGGTCAGCAGAGGTTTCCTGTGGCACATGGGAAGTTTTAAGAAATTTCACCAAGGCCTTCGCGTGAGCCTCGGAACACAACAGTAAAGCTAGCATAGAAATCTTTAACGGAATCTGCCCTAGCTGTCTGACTACGTTGTAGTCACTTCTCTTTATAATTTTTCAAAATTTCTTCCATCTCCTTCTTGGAGGCCTCATGGATAGATACTGATTGCGCCTTCATCCGGACAGGCTCAACCATAATTCCTTTGCCCCGAGTCTCGGTCGACTTAGTGATAGGCGCGTCAGTAGGGGTATCCACACGAAATGTAGTAGTAGTATCAATAGGAACATAAACAAGGATGATCACAGGACTGGTTACAACTTTCGAAGGAGAAATCTCAGGGGAGAATACTCTTCCACTTCGGGTTATTTTGCTGGTTCCTGCAATGTTGCTGATGTCGGGGTCAGCCTTCTCAAAAATGGAGTCTTCATCAGCCAACCAATCTTGTTTGATGCCGTGGTAGTAGACGTCGCCCCCATAATTCCAAGGGACAATTTTATCTGAGGAGTACGGGATTGGTCCTGGCATATTAATTATCAGTGGAATCACCTTAGGAATAGATGTAATCCTAACGGGTCTTTTGGTGGAGACCCTGAAAGGATTGGCGGAAATGGTTACTATTGAGACATATTTGTAAGCAATGGTTGGAACAGGATTATTTTCAAACAAAATCTCGTTGTCATCCATCAGGCGCTGAACACATGCTTTTAATAAATGACAACCAGTTGGTAGAGATAAACAGAGGTGGCAGCCTTCGTCACAGCCCGAAAATAAACCGGACTTCAACAGGTTCCTCTTGACAGTCAGGAGAGGAGTAACAAATTCATCAACAACAGTAACAAACACATCATCTTCAAAAGCATTAACATCACGGCCATTCTTGGGCATAAGAGCGGTGATAACATTTGGGATCTCAGGAGCATCAAATTCAATTTATTTTTCCTCGAGAAGGTCTTGCACCTTGTTTTTCAAAACCCAGCAGTCGTTTGTATCATGACCTGGACTGTCTGAATGGCAAGCACAACGGGAGTTTGGGTTGTAACGGGGAGAGGCAGTGTTGGGATTCTTTGGAGCTTCCCGCAAGGTTACTAGATTAGATCTCAACAAATGTGACACGACTTGAGACAGTGTCATATTTATTCGGGTAAATTGTCTTACCGGTCTTTTCGTTCTATGCTGGTTGTTCCTTTGTTGAGTAGGTGCAGGCTTAGGGATCATGACGACCCCTACTGTTGGACGACATTCAGTTCTGTCCTAATTCCTTTGAGGATACACTGCACCAACTTCTTTCTTCCCCAATAAATGGTTTTCTTACGGCACTGGAGGATGCGTCCTTTTGGATCTTCCCACTCTTAATTCCAGGTTCCACTATTTCCTCAATCAATATTAATTCAGTAAAGCCTGCTGAGGAGCTTCCAATTAGATGATTAAAGAAAGGGCCGGACAGGGTACCCAGAAACATATCCACTAGCTCTCTGTCTAACAGGGGAGGCTAGACTCTTCCTTCTAAGTCCCTCCATTTCTGAGCGTAGTCTTTGAAACCCTCGCTTGAAACCATAGCCATACCCTGGAGTTGAGTACGGGTGGGAGCAAGGTCTGTGTTGTACTGATAATGTTTATAGAAAGCGGCGGCAAGGTCTTCTCAATTATGGATATTGGCCCTTTCCATTTGATAGAACCAATCTAGCCGAGTCTCAAATAGACTACCTTGAAAGAATGGACCCACAAATCTCTGTCAGTAATGTGAGGCTGTATCTTCCTCACATAAGATCGGAGGTGCATCTTGGGACACAAAACCCCGTCGTACTTAGCAAACACTGGTGCCTTGAACTTTGGTGAGATGACAATCCAAGACACCAAACGCAACTCTTTAAAGTCCAGCCCGGGCACTTTCTGAATCTCCATTGCACTTAGACGCTCTTCCAGATGTTTGTATTTGTCGTCAGCCGGAGGATACTGCTCTTCAGAGTAATCATCTTCTTCTTCCTCTTCAGATTCTGGATGGGCAATCACTTCCTTGTTTTTCCCTTCTTGATTATCCTTTTCACCCGACGATGTTGCGAAGTCTAGAGTCCATCTGGCTTGTCCTTGGAATCTTCTTCCCAGATTTAAAACACCGATTGATTTCTTTGCCTTCTTCTTCTTTTCTTTGATCAGCAGAGTTTTCAAATCCTCTTGTCCTTTGGCCAAAGTTAAGAACATTTGTTGAAATTGAGCATTATGCGCCTGAAGATCTTTTAGTGTCTGCTCAAGATCCATCTTACTGAAATAAACAATAGAAAGATAAGGAGACATGTTGGTAAGAAACCTGTTTGTGTTATGATGAATGAAGATGCGTATGAAATGATTTCAAGGAAATTAGAGATTTAAATTTGCTTTAGACAAAAAAAGAACACACGTCATATTAATTAATCAAAGTTTGAGTACATCATGCCTCTTTGGGCTTACAATGAAAGAAATGAAAATACAAAATCTACACTACAAGAAAATTGGCAGATTGCGACAGGTATTTTTGTAGATTACGACGGTTAAAACCGTCGCAATTTGCTTTCCACGACGGTTGCTTTACCGTCGCAGAAGTGTGTGTCCCCAACCTATTTCGCGACGGTTACAAAAACTGTCGTTCAAGTTTACGACGGGTTGATACCGTCGTGACTATCTTTTGAGTTTCTTTTAATTATTGATGGCGACGGTTCGATACTGTCGTGAATATCTTTTGAAATTGATTAAATTGTTTATGGCGACGGTTCGATACCGTCATGACTTTTGTTGATTTTTTTAATTGTTAATTACGACGGTTCGCTACTGTCGCCATGACTTTTGTTTATGTCTTGATTTTTTTTTATTTTTCTATTATATATATTTTTTATTTAAATTATTATCCATCACCCTGCCAAAGTAATCATTATTCTCTCTCACTTATATATTAATAGGAATCATGGCTTATAAATAGCCTTACAAAGGAAACTGCAAAAGAAACTGAATGCACTAGATAGTGCCTAATAAAACAGATAGAAGGTGCCTAGAAAATCGAAACAAACAAATCCTATAAACTAGGATAACCTAAACTGAACCCATGATCCTCCCAGGACCATAACAATGTGACTTATTCAAATAACATAATAGAACCTAAATTTACTCTATGAAGAAGACCATATCCATTCACCAAATTAAAACAAAAACAAATTACACATTATTTATAACTAGTTCTTATAGTAAGTAAAATGTTGGCACGACCACAAATCCTAGTTCCATTGACAGAGAACAGTATTGTTTGGTCAGACAACATCAAGAGTTTACAAACCGCTGCATCATGAAAGAACCGTGCATATATTCTAAATTATTGCTTAGTCAATTTGATTGGAACAATTCTCACAGGTTGAGATTTTTCCAAGGTAATCCCATACTCATCTTCCTTATTCAAATCATCGACATTCAATCCATCTTCAAGTCTCCAATCAAAGCAATTAACCAAAGATCCCAACATCAAAGGCAACATTCTAATAGCCAAAGGCAAACCAGGACAAATTCTTCTACCAGACCCAAATGGAATAAGCTCAAAATGATGTCCTTTAAAATCAATCTCACTATTGAAAAATCTCTCCGGCACAAAAGCATTAGGATTCTCCCATTTACTTGGATCTCTGCCAATAACCCAAGCATTAACCAAAACTTGTGCATCTTTTGGAATAATGTAGTCACCAATTTCAACATCTGTTTCTGCTTTGCGAGGTAGTAATAACGGAACTGGTGGATGTACACGAAACGTCTCTTTTATAACTGCTTGCATGTATGGTAATTTGGCTATGTCTGTTTCTTCGACTGGAATACCTTTGCCAACAACTTGTTCGAGTTCATTTTGTACTTTTGACATGATTTCTGGATTGTGCATTAACTCTGCCATTGCCCATTCTAGTGTGTACGTGCTTGTGTCTGTTCCTGCAACAAATATATTCTGGCATACCACAATTATTTAGTCAAAAAACTATACCATAGTGTTGTAGTGTTCAACAAATGTTGTTGTAGAAAACATACCAGCATTATAAATTTTACGCATACAAAACAGAAAAGAGAATCTTCAAATCAGAATTGTACGCATACAAAATTATCCTAATTGCCAAGTTAATTAGGCATTTTCTGAGGAAAAAATAGAGTTTTACGTACTCTTTGGCAAGTTAGTATTACTTCTGATTCTGATCCCTCAATACTGCATCTAAGCTCCTATAAAAGATGTAGAGAAGTAATGTCACCTCCAGAAATGATTCTACCTGCATAGTACCTGATAAAGAATGAGAAGAATACCTTACTGAAGTAACGTTGCAGGAGGCATTCCTTCAGTAAACCGCACATACCATAGAAGTACAATAAGTTCATCAAGACCTACATATATGTAGAAAACCTGTAAACATTCTATTTCAAGGGATCATTTTACAAGTTTTATATTGTTTTGTTGTATGCTAAAGGCGTTTAGAATCACAGTTAGATGGCTTTTAAAGTGCGGTCAACTAAACAGCTGCAGCTTCGAAGTCAACTCACAATGTTACTGTGGAAACAATGATTTTCAAACACACACGATAAATAGTTTGGCACATTACTACTTTCCTTGATATAGTTGTTGGAATTTCAATTTCAAAAGATAACTTATGATAAAAGCATGGAGACTGAGAGGAAACCTTGTTGTAAATCCATTCAGTCCATGAAGGTCCTTTACAAATCGGTGAAACAAGAATCAATCCAAGCACTCGTTCTTTGTATTTCATCTGCCAAGTGATGAAAAAATTAACCCGATGGTTTACTATATTAGATTGTTGAACATGAAACTCATAAAATTATACATCATTCACCAGTCTTTCTGTACATGCATCTCAACGTATAAATTACGAGTATCATTAAAATCTTGCTTGATCTAGTAGTGTCTTTTACCTGTAACCATTTCAGGTCGGACTGAAAGCTCCCACCGTGATCCATTTCTGCTGCTATCAGCATCATTAGGCTTTGAAACTATTCTTGCCGTCACTGTTTGCCCAATTTTGTAGCCAGAAAATGGATTTTCCAAATCATTTGCATCATGTACCTGTCAATAAGTAGGTACCAAACTATTGAGGAACATGTTAAAATAGTTAAATAGACAAAATAAAAGAGATAGGCATTGCTGCATTATTAAGGTTACGGCCATGTGGCCTTGGTCACAACTTCCTGCTCCAGAAAAAGCACATCATATCAGAGTAAGGCCGCATATATCTTACACACTCAAAACAACAGAGCCTGCTCATTTTATACATCAAATCTACAACTTAAAATGCTAGTTCAAATATTGGCAGCAGTAGATGCAGTAGAGTTACCTCTGTTATGTGAACCCTGCCGTGTAAGCCAAATCCAAACTTCAGTTTCAGCTCAAAAGTTTTTATGTCAGTAATCTGGACAAAATCAAGAATAAAATCCAAGAAACAAGGTCAATAGTGCATATTAGTTTTCAGATGTAAGTTCTCATAAAAACTATTATATCAACAAGAGTAGGAAAAAATTAACAAGCTCTACAATCGGGAGACATTGTGTTATCTTAAAGAAAAAGCAGCAGTGAGAAACCTTGCATGTTCTACAATGTCACATTCATAAAAAACAAATAATAAATAAAAAATATAGATTGAAATTAATGATAGTTCTAAATTGCCTTGCATGTTCCAGTAAAAAAAACTGTGCATGTTACATGTACAAGACCTTCTAATAAATAAAAGTGTTATCGCTGAGAAACTTTCAAAATTATGTCAGGGTTACAGTTATATCAAACTTCAGTTACATTCAACGCAAACATGAAGGATTGAATGCCAACAAAGAATGACCTTATCAAGAGATACTATGCAACCAATTACAAGAAAAAGAGAAGGTTTGAATATTATCGGGACCAGAATATTCGCACATCTTCCTAGTTTCCAAACTCTAATTTGGTGTTGAAGATCAACTTTCCCCTACACAGGTCTTCTTGCTTGAGTTTCAAGGACAAAATCATCATTCTCTCACACCCTTACCCGCCCTTTTCTTTACTTCCTACCTATGTGCATTTGACTAACATATATTTGACCCTAATGAAGTGCCTGAAGTGTCTACTTCAGATCCTCATACTCATTTTGTTTTAGACCAGCATGAGTGAGAGGTTTGTGAAGACTACCAACAAGTGCGGAAAAAACTCTATCATCAGGTATTAGGCCCATTTTTATCATCTCATCATACAACTTAAATGCTTCATCTGCTCTCCCCTCCTTGGATAAACCTGAAATAAGTGATGTATACGTTGCGACATTTCCAGTTATCCCCTTTGACCTCATCTCATCGAAAATTTTAAGCGCCTCGTCTACCCTGCCAACAATACATTCCCCGTGTATTAGCGATGTGTATGTATACACATCTGGCAATAACCCCTTGTTTATCATTTCAGATTTTGTCAAATGTGCTAGCTTCACTTTTTCTTTCTTGCAATACACATCAATGAGAGTGTTATATGTAACAATATTAGGCACTTCTCCCTTTTTCTCCATATCCCTAAAGAACCTCTCAGCTTCAGCAAGGTTTCCTTCCTTGCAATATATCTCGATAAACATAGTGAAAGTCACAACATTTGGTTCCACTCCTTTCTCTACCATTGAATTTAAAGTACACTTGGCTTCGTCATACCTATGCAATTTACATAGCCCATTTGCAAGAATGTTGAATGTAAACACATCTGCATTGAATCCTTTCCTTTCCATGATCGTTTGCAGCCTCAAAGCTTCATCCATCATTCCTCTTTTGCAGTAGCCATCTATCATCGTGTTAAATATTATCATATTTAGGTCAATTCCCTTACTTTGCATCTCTTCCAACAAGATTTCCGCAGCTTCCATTTGACCAGCCTTACACACACCACCAATCAACGCGCCGTAAGTATGTGCATTAGGAGCAACATTTCTCTGAGCCATCTCATCAAACAACGCAAATGCCCTTTTCATATTTCCCAACCTACAATTCCAACTTATCATGGACGAATAAACATAAACATCAATTTCTATTTTTCTTTCACGCATTTCCTCGAATATCTTCTCCACTTCCCCAATATCACCAGAACTAGAATACCACTGAATCAAAATACTATAAGTCGCCACACTAAAAACAACCGGCTCCTTCTCCATCAACCTCAGTATCTCACCAACTCCACTTCGATCCTTTCTTCCAACATACGCATTCAACAACGTATTGTCAGTAAACACAGTCGGTTTCACAATGCTTTTAGTGACCATCTCATCCATCAACTCCTTAGCTTTCTCAACCTCTCCTCTCTTACACAAGCCATCAATCACAAGTGTCAAAGACTGAACCCTAATTTCAATTCCATTAGACTCAACCATCCGGCGGAAGAATCTAAGACACAACTCAATCTCACCACATCTCTTCAAAGCAAGCAAAAGCACAAAACAAGACCTCTCCTCTATCACGAACCCCTTTTCCTCCACATAATCAAAAACCCTAACCGCCTCTGGAAACAACCTATTATCAGAACAAACCCTAAACAACATATCACAAAGCTTGTCAACAAAATGAAACTCAAATTCATCAAGCAAATCAACGATCCCCGAAACTGGGGAGCGAAATTGGGAATCAGTAACAACGGAATTCATAATAGTCTTGATGGTGGCGAATTTGCGAGCTTTAAAGAGTCTAGAAAAGAGAATCAAATGGGCCTTGAGGTCAGGTTTGAGTGAATGGTTGGAATGATGGGTTTTGAGGAAGTGGAAAAAGGATAAACAGGAATGCGGTTGGAGAATAGGGTCTGAAAGAACACGGTAAGTAACATGGGGGGTGAAGGTGATGCAGGAAATGATGGAGTGAAGTTCGGTGTTATTGGGTTTGAAATAGTTGGGTTTAAATTGCAGTAAAGCGTAATAGACGAAGCGGGGTAAAGGATCTAGGGGGACGACGGGTGTGGTTACCGTCGTGTCCTTTCATAACTTTTGCATGTTTTTTAAAGGTTTAGGGGGGCGACGGTTGTTTTACCGTCGTGATGTCTATTTTAGGACGGTTTTTTAACCGTCGCAACATTCATTTTAGGGCGGTAGGTGTATACCGTCGTGACATGGGTCCCTATATTAGAATTACGACGGTTATTAAGTAACTGTCGCAATTTTTGTGTCGTAAAATCCTAATTTTCTTGTAGTGCTAAGACAAAAAAGTTGAGTGCATCCTCTTTGGTGCGATGTAGGCGTTCAGACTCCGCTCCTCATGAAGCCGTCTGGTGAATTTCAGAACCTTCTTCTTGCTGGCGTAGAATTGGGCCTCGAAAGTGTCTCGCTCCCCCTTAAGCTGTATCCAATCCCTTTGCAAGTCTTCGAGAGAGGTGGGTATGTTAGGATGAAGGATAGTGTATGGGACATCTCCTTCCATAATAGGCTCTATGATAACTGGGAGAATATAGGGGTAAGGCATCATAACACTTTGAGCACGAGCTCATACCCATTTGAGATAAGGCTCAAGAGGGACAGAATTCTTGTGCCCCAGTGTCTTGCTATCAACTCTATGTACCATGCCCCAAGCTCGCATGAACCTTTTTCGGTAACCCTGAGCATCATTCTGTAGTCGAAGACGATTCCTTGAATAAGTGCATCATGACGACCATCCCTTCTTGCATATCCAAACTTTCGTAGCGCCGAACAAGGATTGTAAGTGATTCCTCCCATAATGCCTAATAGAGGGACATTAGGGAATTCTCCGCATCGATCAATGATGGTAACATTCTCCGAGAATCGAGGACACCAATGAATGCCTGAATTTGTAAGAGTAATCAACCTATGAGACCATCTCAAACCCTGTTCATTCTTCAAGAAGGATCGGGATAGGTGCGAAATAAACTACCTAGCCAAAAGAGGTGTGCAACATAGAAGGGTTCCTCTCCTCTTTATAGTGCGAGTATGCAACGAATGTAGGATATCTCCAAGCAGAGTAGGTACTGGATTACGTGACAGGAAAACCTTAACCGCATTCATATCTATGAGCTGGTCCGGATTAGGAAACAGTACCAACCCATAGATGAGAAGGGATGACACCTATTCAAAAGCTTGTAAGTCTAAGGTATCCAAAAAATGATGAGCTTTCTCGAACAAGAACTTAGCCAAAAAACCCTTGACACCTCACCTGGTTTCCCATTTTGCTACTATGTCAGACCGTTGTAAGGATAAAGCTTTAGCAATATCTTCAGATTTAGGGTCTCTTTCCATACCATTGAAAGGTACCTCATTAAGGATAAGCACCCCCAACAGCAAAGAAAACTCCTCCATAGTAGGCACTAACTGGTAATCTGGAAAAGTGAAGCAGTGATGTAGAGGGTCAAAGAACTGAAAGAGCACTTTTAACATTTCTTCATCAGGGTTTGAGGTGACTAAGCTGAGAAGTCGTCTATGTCTTTCACTGAATGGAGAGCTTCCGGGAACCCTTGATGCCAAATCCTTAAGCTGAGGAGGTACTTTTACCAGACTGACTTGGATAGTGAATCTGCGGGCAAAAGCCATGTCCTACAAAACAAGACAAAAATAAACCCTAAGAATCCTTGAAATGGTTAGTATGACATGCTATGTTATGATGTCATGATTATGTTCAGATATAGCAGATGTAGCAAGCACAAGAAAATCACACAGGGACCTTAAGTTTAAGGCTTGCATGGGATTTAAGGTGATACCCTCTTGAAGTTGGGTTGGTTCAACCTGTCCTAAATATGGTAACCGGGTTCTAAGGGATCTCAATATCACCGGTCTTTCCCCTAACTCTCGTTCTGATAGACAATTGACTTGCCACCAAACAAAATTTAAGGATCAATCCTCAATGAGTGTAGTATCAAGTATCAACCGACTTTGGGTTTACACCAAAGACGGCTATCTCACTACGTCCTAAAAGCCAAGTTGGTCAATTAAGGTGCCGGCCCCGTATTCTCCTTGATTACTCAAGGGCTACCGGTATACACAAAAGTATCGCATCAACATAGCTATTGTTTCAACCGTGTCGGTATACCCCGCAGAGTTCCCTCACAGTTTATTGCAACTTACCTAAAAAGGTGCCCCAAATCCGGGTGTAGGATCAAAGTAAATCCAAATAAGGAACCATAATGTAAAGCATGCAAGTCAAACAAATAAATTAAGTAAATATGATTTATCCCTAAGGTAACCCCACTTTTAAGATTTTCCCCAGTAGAGTCGCCAGTTCTGTAACACGGTGGGAGAACTGACTTGGTTGTTTTGCGTTTGATCGCAAATGTTGCGGTTTAGCAAGAGTCTCCACCGACTTTTCTTTTATCCAAAAGGAAAGGCTGAAAAGAACAGGAAAGACCTTTGAGATATTTTCTTGAGTTCAGGGGGTAGATTATGAAAAAGGAAGGTATTAGCACCCTTTTTATCCATGGTTTTCCATGGGCTCTTAGTTTCTTGCTAGATCACTTGCTTTTGTTTGAAAATATGCTTTGTATGGTTTTTTGAAAGTATTATTTGTAATGGTTATCGTTTCTATAAGAACGCGTACAAAGTGTTGTTTTAAAAGTTGTTCAAAAAGGTGTTTGTGGAGTGTGTTTTTTTGAAAGTGATTTTGAAAAGGGTTTTCTTTATAATGGCTCTCGTTTCTATAAGAATGCGTACAAAGTGTTTGTCTTTTGAAAATGTTTCAAGTTTGTAAGATGTTTTAAAAGTGTTGGTGTTTGTTTTGAAAATAGCAAGGATGTTTTTGGTTTGAAATTGAGCAAGCAACTAGGAACGATCTACCTACTCAAAAGTCTTTCATGTTTATTTCCTCTTTCCTTTGACA